AGTTACTTGAGAAGGTTCAATTAGAATGAGAATCATCGGACCGAAAATAATAATTTATATGTTTAAGCAGTTCGCGAAGATCGTATGCGGGGCGGTCGCAATAAATTTGGCTCATATTATAAACGGGATCGAGCACAGCGAATGCAGCGTATCGCTTTACGGACCAACGGAACGCAGAATTTTTTCAGTCAACATGCTGCAGACCAACAAGTTTCTAGCAGGTATTCTTAAGTAGATTTGGTTCTCCTTCGGTTAAAGCACCGGCGCAATCTGGATTTCTTTGCAAGCAAAAAAATAAGACTTTTAACTCAGCTGGTATGGATGAAGTTGCTACATTTTCGTGAAGTACCTACACAGTAGGGAATATAATTTTATTGTGAAACAAATTTTTGGACGAAACCGACACTTTATGAAAGACTAATAAGTCAGTTACTAGTGTAGATTGCCCTTTTGGTGCTGTTACTAATGCTAAAGCTACCAGAATCACCCCAGTTTGATTTCATTGAAGTGCAGCAAAGTGCATAGCACTCTAAAACTACCTCTATTCAGGTATATAGACTTGGTGCAACGTCACTTTTCGCATCCTTCGTTTTGAGTACCATCTGGCAAAAAACTGCCCATTGGCTGTCAGCGCATGCGTAATTCCCGGAGCCATCCTGACGGTGGTGTCTTGCACAACATACTTGTGCATCGTAAGATACCTTGTGCTATATGTGTTTGTCTGTGATTGTGATGATGCTGTGAGACATTTCGCCCTATTACTCTCAATTGTTAAAGAGAATTAAATAGGCCCTTGGTGTTAATGAATTGAATTTTGACTAGGTATTTAATATTCTTTTAACAAATGAAGATCACTTGTCAGTGAGAAGTAATGGGACAGCGGTTTTGCTCTCTGAGGCAGTGTGAAATATCAACACAGGCCGCGAAAAGATAATCCAAATACCTTTGCCTTGGCAAGAGTTCGCTCTTCTGCTTTCGTTAGTGACCATAGTTCGCACCTTCTACATCATTGCCTAACGAAATCTGAAATTCTAGTGCTCTATATTATGCAAAAAAAAACACACACAGTCACTTGAACAACTTTTCAAGGACTGTGAGCGTCAACAATGGTTAATACAAACTGAAGGTGTACAACACAGGACAGAAGGCCCTAATAATACTGCCTTGAATGTTCATTGGCACTGGAGCTTACGCCGGTGATAATGGCAATATTCTTACTTGCCATTCTGCTTTTCCCAGCATTTTTTCTTAATTGCAGTACACCTTCTGATGCGATCGCAACAACAGCAGCTGCAGCAGCAGCGGCAGCAGCGCAAGCTCAATATTTCGATGCAAACGGAGCACAAAAGTTCAAGACTGATTATGATGCGCTGCTCCAGTCGCCAACCTTATCCAGCAGTACGCAGCCTAATAGCAGTAAGTTTCAAACCTTCCCTAAAAACATATTTTTCAAATTCTTATATTTACGAAGCAGCAATAATTGTAATCGTATGATGATGAAGTTTGCTCTAATTATAGTGATTCAAATGAATAAAAGGATGATCGGCTAGTCTGTGGTTGCTTGTGAAGGGCAATAAGGTCAAATTCCGTTCGTGAGGTCAGCTTCGGTAAAACAAAAGGTGCGGGTGAAACAAAGGTCAATCTGGGGTCACCAAGTGCAAGAGTATCGGTCTGCCTCTCTAGCTGATAACAATCGTGAAGACCTTAAAGGAATTGCTTTTCTTAATTGGCGCTTCTGTAATGTAACGCACAAATGAGATTCTTCAAAATCTAAAAGTTATTT